AGTGGAGGTAAGTTTAACTACTAGAGTGCCACAACAGCTTTATTATTGTCAGTGTTAGTCTAACTCCCAAAACAGAGTGGAGGTAAGTTTAACAGAGTGCCATGACAGCTTTATTATTATCAGTGTAAGTCTAACTCCCAAAACAGAGTGGAGGTAAGTTTAACTACTTGAGTGCCACGACAGCTTTATTATTGTCAGTGTTAGTCTAACTCCCAAAACAGAGTGGAGGTAAGTTTAACTACTAGAGTGCCACAACAGCTTTATTATTGTCAGTGTTGGTCTAAACTTTGACATTCCATAAATAAATGCTCTAAAGTCGGCATCAGATCTGTGCTATCACAAGGAGGTAAATATATCAACATACCTTGCTCCTGCGCGCGCAAACACACACACACACTCGCACACACTCACACGCAGGCACACATACACAATACACATGGCGGCATATCCTTAAAAGACCTTAGCTGTTGATAGGACGTTAAAAAAACCCAAAAAAAAACAAAACCTTGAAGTGTCCCGTCAGATCACTATGCACCTTTGTCAATCACTGAAGGAAGTTAGGGTTTGACACCATGTGATATGATCACAGAGAGTCACTTTCAATGCTCCTCGGCAGTGTTAACAGGTTGTAACACCCTTGTCAATCACTGAAGGAAGTTAGGGTTTGACACCATGTGATATGATCACAGAGAGTCACTTTCAATGCTACTCGGCAGTGTTAACAGGTTGTAACACCCTTGACCTTTGTTGAGATTGCTGTTCCACTGCCCAATATGAATGACTCTCAAAGTTAAACATTGATAATCGAAAATATCATGGTAAATGAATAATGGACGCATCAAGAATATCACCCCACCACTATCTAATATCACCCCAAACACTTACATCACAACTAGTTATTTACATAATATTTATGTTTATTGCCATTCAGATTATGACCTTACACACTAGCTAGGCAGGTAAAAACATTGTCGTAAAGATCTAATGACAGAAAATAGCTGAATTTTATTTGGCATTATAAATAGTAGTTTCTTTATTTATGGTTAACTGATAACATTTCAGATTTATTGTCTGTTGTCTTCAATGTTGCCGGAACTGGCATTACATTACAGGGAAAGGCAGATTTGTGGAACCCAGGCCAAAGGTTAAGCTAACATGTTTCTAGTTTTATTACCATGCTTATAAGGATTATGTGATGACTTGATATATTTTACATTGATATATATGTTCGAGTGGTCGGGTGGTGCAGAGGAAAGTGCACTTGCCTTTCACCAAGGCGGCCAGGGTTTGATTCCCTGATCGGACGTGAAAAGGTATGGGGTCGCCTGCCCAACCATGTGCGTTTCCTCCGGCTACTACGGTTTCCTCCCACAATAAGACACCCCCCCCCCTTCAATATTCTCAAGTCAGACATTCTACATAATCTCAACAATCTCCAGTCAAAATAATTTTTGTAACCTGTCTGGATAAGTTTTAGAGGAATTGTTTTTGTGAACTTAAGAATGAAAATAAAAGTGTCTGTATATTATGCATTTCAGTATGGCATCATGGAGCAGGGTTGTTACATGTACTCTATGGTACTGGTACCCCTGTATGATACCCTGGGGCCAGATGCTTGTGCATTTATCATTAATCAAGGTAAGTCCATTCAGAATGTATACACATGTACAAATGCAGTAGAATTTCTGTGTAAGTTTATAAATATGGACATATTTCCTAGAAATAATCCTAAAATGACATCAACATGATAAAATAGAAATGACAGCTGTCTGTCAGTGATGACTGTAACAGTTGTAATTAATGGTATCTTTTAGACTCTTGTGATATATACCCTCACACTCAATTACTTGTCCATGTAATAGGATATGGCAGGGAATAGGTTATTAATGCAGGAAAACAAGTATATGTAGTGAAGGATAATACTGAAAACAATACAGAAATGTTTAAATTGTGTGTACGGCAGTGTTTTAGATTGTTTCTGACTCATCACTGACCTTGGTTTTATAGTTTAACAGAATTGTTGAGAAATCAACAAAAGTTGCGAATCATCATGTATACATGTCTCAAAGAACATGTGTACGCATGTGTTAAAAATAGGATAGGGCCCATTACATGTCTCAAAGAACATGTGTACGCTTGTGTTAAAAATAGGATAGGGCCCATTACATTTCTCAAAGAACGTGTGTCTCATGTTTTAAAAATAGGATAGGACTCATTTTTTACTCACCTTTTGAAAAAAACCTTAAAAACCCAGTCATGTTACGTATTCTATTCAATTTTCTGTTTACTTTAAAATCCAGTCATGTTCTGTAACCAACTATAACGTTTTACGTAAAACCCCAGTCAAAAAATGTCTGCAGCTACCAAACAATTATGTTTGATCCTAATGACCATCTCGTTTATTTGGTAAGGTTGTCTGCTAGGTTCTGCCACTGGTTATGTTTGTATAGCTGTTTTATAATATAGATTGTATATTATCATCACTAATTAATGTTATAGCAGTGTAGTGATTTCTAACCGACTCATACATACCATGATAAAGTATATTTTATGCCTTGTAGCGGACATTGAATTGGTGTGTTGTGACAAAAATGTGAAGGTCCAGAATATACTAAACCGCATTAAAGAGACGCCACAGCTCAAGATCATAGCTCTGATAGAACCGCCCACCCCAGAAAACGTCACCAAAGCACAAGAATGCGGCATTGAGCTCATCAGATTTTCTGATCTTGATGTAAGTGTATACAACAATATCTTGGCCTACATGTGATGTAGGCTTTTCACTAATTAAATCAGATATGTTCACTTTTACAAGGCAGTGGGGTATATAGGTTTGTCCCTGATGTCTGTATGCTGTCAAAGACACATAAAAAACCTTGAGCAATGAGCATATTGTAGGGATGTACAACGTTAATCCACTGGGATGTAAAGATATTTCAATAAGTGATAAAACTGCTGATGCTTTTTTAAAAGAATAGAGTGAATTAATAAGATCAATGAAATAAGGGCATGTGGTAATAACATTATGCCATATCCATTAGTTATAGAAGTAACTGAAGTAGTCTCAGATGGCTAACTTCAGAGTGTTTAGATCTTCATATTGGTCAAAATTATAAGATCATTAAACCTTCATATTGGTCAAAATTATAAGATCATTAAACCTTCCTATTGGTCAGTTTATAAGATCATTAAACCTTCCTATTGGTCAAAATTATAAGATCATTAAACCTTCATATTGGATAGCATTATAAGATCAATTAACCTTCGTATTGGATAGCATTATAAGATCAATAAACCTTCATATTGGTCAGTTTATAAGATCATTAAACCTCCATATTGGTCAGTTTTTAAGATCAATAAACCATCATATTGGTCAGTTAAATAAGATCAATAAACCGGCATATTGGTCAGTTAAATAAGATCAATAGACCGTCATATTGGTCAGATTATAAGATCAATAAACCTTCATATTGGCTAGCATTATAAGATCAATTAACCTTCGTATTGGATAGCAGTATAAGATCAATAAACCTGCATATTGGTCAGGATTATAATATCAATAAACCTTCATATTTGATAGCATTATAAGATCAATTAGCCTTCGTATTGGATAGCAGTATAAGATCAATAAACCCTCATATTGGTCAGTTAAATAAGATCAATAGACCGTCATATTGGTCAGATTATAAGATAAATAAACCGTCATATTGTGAGTTATCAGATAAATAAACCGTCATATTGGTAAGTTTATAAGATCAATAAACCTTCATATTTGATAGCATTATAAGATAAATAAACCGTCATATTGTCAATTATAAGATAAATAAACCGTCATATTCGTCAGTTTATAAGATCATTAAACCTCCATATTGGTCAGTTTTTAAGATCAATAAACCTTCGTATTGGTCAAAATTATCAGATCATTAAACCTTTATATTGGTCAAAATTTTAAGATCATTAAACCTTCATATTCGTCAAAATTATAAGATCATTAAACCTCCATATTGGTCAGTTTTTAAGATCAATAAACCTCCATATTGGTCAGTTTATAAGACCAATAAACCGTCATATTCGTCAGTTTATAAGATCTCTAAACCGTCATATTGGTCAGTATATAAGATCAATAAACCGACATATTGGTCAGTTAAATAAGATCAATAAACTGTCATATTGTCAGTTATAAGATCAATAAACCGTCATATTGGTCAGTTAAATAAGATCAATAAACCGTCATATTGGTCAGTTTATAAGATCAATAAACCGTCATATTGTCAGTTTATAAGATCATTAAACCTTCATATTGGATAGCATTATAAGATCAATAAACCGTCATATTGGATAGCATTATAAGATCAATAAACCTTCATATTGGGCAGTTTGTTCACGTTGATAATCTTTATGAGACCAGTAAACCTTCATGTTGTTAAGCATTGTAAAGTTGTCCTGATGACATCTCAAATATTGGTAGGCGGAACTGGTAAGTCAATTAATGATAAATATTCACCTAATGAGTGACACGTTAGTATGTTATGATTATATTCCCTCTCTATCAATATATTTATCTAATGAATGTATAGGAAATTTACACAGTCATAAATAAAAACACCAATATAATTTTGGAAACTTTCTTTTGATCTTCCTGTCATGACTCCTTTCAGTTATATTTGATGATACTAGGTACCATTATAGTCTAGGTGTGACCTAGAGCTATTTAGTTGTAGTGCTCCTTATGTAGCTTTAATTACCTTATCTTCGGTAAAGTGATCTGTTCATATTATACATGTAATAGCAATTATCTGTGTTCGTCTATTAGCCTACACATTACGTGTATCAACGCCCTTCTCCGCCAGTCAATTACTATCAATAATGTCATTGTCTTGCAGTGCTATAACTGCAGTTGCTTTTACTATCATTATTATGAATATCAAGACTTGCATAATATCAAAATTTTATTTACACTGTAGGCCATAATGTTTAATGGCTCTGTGATAGTTTCTTGCTAGATAAAATTTACTATGATTTACTAATAAGATCATCTTATTCACTCTGATGACCTATTGTGATTGCCTATTGTCTCATTGTGCATCATTTGTCATACCAAATAATTCTATTTCTTATTTTGATAACATTTACAGTAATCATCAGTCTAAAGGTAAGGCTGATTCCAGGGGGGCCGAGAGGCAGGCCATACAGAATCATAGAGTGCAAAACCTTCAAAAGGCATTTCCTCTGGAACTCCCCAATTGACTTTCCCAAGCATTCCATATAATAATACATAGAGAATGAGGATTAGAATTTAAGAAGGGGTTAAAAGCACAGGAGCTCATATGGGGTCACTTAGTGCAAAATGCTTAAATTACATGTTGTTGGTGGTAGATTTAGACACAAGTTTCATGAAATCACAAAAATCAGAAGAAATGCTTGAGAACTGGCTAAAACCCATGGAGCTAAAGAAGGGTTGGGATCATAAGGAGTCGCATGGTGCAGAACTTTTAACCACAATTCCTATTGAAATGTCTGTCAAATTTTGATTCAACTTAGTAGTGATCATCATCAGCCTGCTATTGGGATCAGATTCTGTACTCCGTAAGAGGCTGACAGCCAAGATGACTGAGGGGCAGGGCAATAAGAGGTCAAAGAAAAATGTCAAAAAACTCCGTCTCTGTAACTTACAACTGGTACTTAAGGAGGGGCTGACACCCTGAAGTGTAGAGTCATAAGGGTTTCAAATAGTGCAAAACCTCCAAATAGCATCTTCAGTGGAACTTGGTGGTGACTTTTGACCAACATTTGATCACACAGAAAATTTAAAATTGCATTAAAATGATCATTTCGGAGTAAGTAAGATAAGAATTTGGCTAAAGGAAGTACATTTTAAAACAGTGTGTGGATCAGTTCTGTTCTAAGGCCAAAAATTGATAAAAAAGAGATAGAACAATTAACACTTGGTATGAGATGATAGAAATGTTTTATAATGCTTTCTCTTTTTTTTTTTGCCTTACAGAAACTTGGAGAACAAAATCCTGTGGAACCAATGGTAATTAGTCCCTTTTATTTCTAACGAATTTCCAACACGTTTGTTCACATCTGGAAAGTTTTAATAACATTTCTTCTTAAAAAAATCTCATTATTATCTTATATAGTATTTTTTTGTTTGGTTATCGGTATTCTTCAGGTCTAATCTGTGATATTAATACCATGACTGTTATCTTTTGTAGCCTGCTAAACCAGATGATCTGTGTGTTCTGTGTTACACAAGTGGAACAACAGGTACTGTATATACATCCTTATATTATAGAGTTGTGTTCTAAGGAAAACATCCTTAGTTTGAGAGTTGTGCTTTAGGACAAACATCCTTACTTTCATCTCTGTGGTCTAGAAAACATTGTTACTTTGTATGGATGTGTTCTAGAAAAAAATACATTCTTACTTTGTAGAGTTATGTTTTAGGAAAAACAAATCAGGCTGTGTTATTTTTGTCAAAACTTTGAATAAAAATTCTAAGAAAGCAATAGATATAATTTTATGAATTATTCCATTTTATGGTCTTTGAAGTTACGAGTATATTGTTGTTCTGACAATACAATTTGACTTACCTTATAATACCTTATAAAAAGCACTTGTAAAGATAACATTTGTGCTAATGGCTATAGTTTACCTCAGTAACAACACACCTACATACCACCTGATGTCATTACAACTATTTGTATTATATCCTTGTCATGTCTATTTATTGTTGATCAACACAATGTGATAATGACAGCAATACGTTATGAAGGTTGTTTAGGTCGGATGGGTGCTGCAGCTGATGTAGGTTGAGTTTAATTTCAAAGATTATTCAAAACATTTTCCAGGCCTTCCAAAAGGTACCATGCTGACTCATAAAGGGACATTGGCTACAGTGGCTGCAACCCAAAAACAATTGGTAAGGGCTAGTTATCACCTTCCCTGTAGACATTATACCAATAGCTGTTTATGTATGACAACAGTCTTGACTGCGCTCAATGTCACAACCTTGTTATCAACTTCACGAAGCATAAGATGCAGACAGAGAAAAAAAAACTTTTAAAAAACCCAGAAAGATAGCAATTCAATTTTCAGGTGGTTCTAAATATAAAAAAGAAAAAGGAAATTGAATTAAAACTGAGAAAAAGTTTGAAAAATTATATTTCTTCATTCTGAATTGTGTCTCACATCTGCTCAACTGTATTCGGAAGGCTGATAAAACAAGCATGATGTTATTTATGTAAAAATAATAATGCAGTATTTGATTGACTGCTAATTGTATTCCAGTGTGTTTTAATAGCTTTACATGGTAATTGATGTGTGGGGGTTGCATGACCAACTTGTAAATTTTTAAGCCCACACAACAGAACACCAAAACAATCTAAACCCGCACAACACACTTCAATACTGAATCATGGGGGTTATAACAGCAAGAAAAATAATAATTGGTATCTGAATATTGTTTGCGATTTGATGTTTGTTTTGTGCTTAACTGTTATGAAGATGATGATTTTTACGACTTTCAATAAATGCTAGATAATCAAGAAAAATTGAAGCAGCTAATGGGTCATATACACTGTCACAACCCCTGTGTATTCACTCTGACACGATCTGTCACAACCCCTCTGTGTTCACTCTGACACGATCTGTCACCACCCCTCTGTATTTACTCAGACACGATCTGTCACAACCCCTCTGTATTCACTCTGACACGATCTGTCACAACCCCTCTGTATTCACTCTGACAAGAACTGTCACAACACCTCTGTATTCACTATGACACAATCAGTCACAACCCCTCTGTATTCACTCTGATACCAACTGTCACAACCCCTCTGTATTCACTCTGACACGATCTGTCACAACCCTTCTGTATTCACTCTGACACTATCTGTCACAACCCCTCTCTATTCACTCTGACAAGAACTGTCACAACCCCTCTGTATTCACTATGACACGATCAGTCACAACCCCTCTGTATTCACTCTGATACCAACTGTCACAACCCCTCTGTATTCACTCTGATACCAACTGTCACAACCCTTCTGTATTCACTCTGACACGATCTGTCACAACCCCTCTGTATTCACTCTGACACGATCTGTCACAACCCCTCTGTATTCACTCTGACACGATCTGTCACAACCCTTCTGTATTCATTCTGACACGATCTGTCACAGCCCCTCTGTATTCACTCTGACACGATCTATCACAACCCTTCTGTATTCACTCTGACACGATCTGTCACAACCCCTCTGTATTCACTCTGACACAATCTGTCACAACCCCTCTGTATTCACTCTGATACCAACAGTCACAACCCCTCTGTATTCAATCTGACACGAACAAGACCAATCTGTGTGTTTGCAAATAACGATGGTTTAATAACATATTTGTAACGGATGTTGCAGGAACCTGCTGGAATAAAGATCACACACGAGGATGTGTTGATATCTTACCTGCCGTTAGCACATTCCTATGAGAGATTACTAGAGGTAATGTACAATTGTGTTCAGCTACAGGCACACTAACCTTATTAGCATACAGGGTCTGAAGGACCGAGGTGAGCTTATGCCATACCATGGCATCCGTTGTCCGTACGTCGACAATTTCTTTAAACGACTTCTTCTTCTTAACCACTGATTGTAATTTAACTAAATTTGACTGGAATAATCCCTAGGTGATGGGGATTAAAAACTGTACAAATGGTGGGGCTGACCCCCAAGGGGGTTGAGGGGCGGGACCAAAAGGGGGCAATTTGGCAATATTGCTATAAACGACTTCTTCTGTAGAACTTTGCACTGGATATCACAGGCTGACCCCCCGGGCTAAGGGGTGGGACCAAAAAATGTTTATTACTTGGAAATGGTTGAGATCCCCACTGTATTACCATATATACAATTGCTGAGTTTAAAGAGAAGAATGCACATTTGCTTCCAGGATGGCCCTAGGGTCTAGCCCCACCCTTAGAGACATAGTCCCTGGGTCATATCTTTGAAACGATTGAGATCCCCACCCCAGAACTATGCATACAAATGCTGGGCATAAAGAGATGAATGCAGTCATGATATTTGAATAGACCCTGGGGTCTGACCAAATCCCTAGGGACCTAGTTTCTTAGTCACAGCTTGGAAACAGTTGAGATCCCCACCCTATAACCATATATACAATTGCTGAGTATAAAGAGATGTATGCACATATGCTTCCCGTATGTCCTTGGGGTCTGCCCCACCCTTGAAACGATTGAGATCCCCACCCCAAAACTATAAATACAAATGCTGGGCAAAAAGAGACGAATGCAGTCATGATATTAGAATTGATCCTGGGGTCTGGCCACAACCCTAGGAACCTTGTTTCTGAGTCACAGCTTGGAAACAGTTGAGATCCCTACCCCATAACCACACATAAAATTGATGGGCATGAAAAATCTAATACAGATATGCTACAAGGATTGGCCTTGGGGTCTGGCATATCCCTTGCATCCCATTTGGAGAATATTTTGCTCTGATTGCTTAGATATCCAGGTGAGCGGTACAGGCCCTCTGGGCCTCTTGTATCAGGATGAAATTGGAAATATGATAATTTCATTATTAAAGTTAAAAAGAAATATATATGTCCTGGCATTCAAAATATACACAAAAAAAGATGGGAACATATTTTTTAAAAAAACAATCGGAAAATTTGAATGTGTCTGTAAGCTTTGAAATTTGATACAGCCAGATCAAGACGGTTTTATCTACAATAATGAACACTGATTCAACAGCATATTCTTTTATCACTATTATCAATCCAACACTGAAGAAACTGTGCCTGCTTTCTCCATGATGAAATTTTGTTTGCACACTACTAACTCAGTTTACTGTCTTAATGATAGAAAGTATAGATTGGATACAGGTTCATATATTACAATCAGTAAGATCTTTTATTTTGGTGTTGCAATGACTCATATGTAATATGTCGGCTTAATCAGACAAACAATCAAATCAACAAATCATACCTGGTCATAGATTCTCAACAAACAACGGAATTTGGTCATTCCATTCATAAGGCAATCCTATGTGATATTTCATGGAAGATTTATTTTCTTTGCAGTGCTATCTCACCATGTCTGGTGCTAGAATTGGGTTTTTCCAAGGTGATGTACGTATGTTGATGGATGACATCAAAGAATTAAAGCCAACATTGTTTCCCTCAGTACCTCGACTACTCAACAGATTCTACGATAAGGTAGGATATTGCACCTGTCACAACCAATCACACCTGTCTCGACCATTCCTGGAACAAGGAACAATATTTACATTCTGTATGCTTGGACCCATTAATGAAAATGACATTTATTTCTGCATGACCTCATCACTGCGTATTGATACACTACAATGATGTAGTACCAGGCATATTACCGTCCATGTCTGCTGTGAAACCACCCTCAATGTAGTTTTATTATGCTACATAAAGTGACATGAATTAACCTTAAACATGATTGGCTTGATTTTAAAGTTAAAATAAGGTGCATAAAGCATATGATAATTATATAGGACTTATATAAATTCTACAAACTAAATTTTGAAAATGGAACTATAATTTTTGTTTCGTTGTCATGCTGTTGCTAGGACTCCCAAAGAAAGTTTCACATTTTCCCGCGAAAACATGCTGTTCTCTCTTCTGCATTGCCCCCCATGTATAAAAAGAAAAAAATACCTGTACTTTATTTATTTTTATTTTATTTTTTTTATGCTAGCATCGGAAAATAAGGAATGAAATGAATTTAGATCATAACAACCTTGGATTTCTGGAAGCAAATGTTATTATGACCTCATGAATGTTGAAAAAAAAAATTTCATTCCTCAAATAACACACCTGTCTCAACAAATTCTGAAATAAGGTAGGATTACTGGCATCCCTGTATCCTTTTCAAGTAAAGAAATTTAAGGGAATCCCATTCTTTTAAGGATCCAAATTTAATCCAAGTAGAATTAACCCTGTCACCTGGTTCTAACAGTTAAGTGAGAGTCTAACATGCCTGTCTTTTGTATTTTACAGGTGGTGGCTGGAACGCAAGCAAGTGCAGTCAAACAGTTTATGTTCAAAATGGCCATGAGCAGTAAAGAGTCGGAACTAAATCGGTATTCCATATTTGTGTTCTGTTTCATTCTATCAAAAACACAGTAGTTATTATAATTACCAAAAGTGTGGTGTTAGATTGGTAGAGATATCTCCCTCAATTTTTGCCACAAAAAAATGTTTCATTTGTAAGTTTCTCAGGCCAAGTTTAATAAAATAAAATAGGCAGGTTTCTTTCTTAATTCTTAAAAAGATTGAAGCTGCAAAAACCTTTTCGGTATATTGTTCTTATTTTCAATGGGAAATAATTCAAACTTGATTGGAATTATCATCATTTGATTGCAGTTTGATATTATAAAAATGTATTTATAAGACATTATGAACATTAAGACCCTGACTCACCCCAGAGACCTGAGGTGCAGAGCCAAAAAAGGGTCAAAGATCCACATGTAATTTCCACCAAAGTAGTTGCCATACTAAATACAAATTGGAATCTTCAAGAAACACTGAGTTCAATAAAAAAAAAATATTTCAATTTCAAAGCTTGCAAAAAAGGGTAATTTCAGACATAAAATGTGATGTTATAGTGCCTGAGAAACTTATGATCATTTATTTTTGTCTCATCTTTTGTAATAGTCGAATTTTTACACATGAACATTTTTTGTATTTTGACTTTTCAAGTTATTGATGGCATAGGAATATAATGTTGAAAATATGTAAATATATAGCTCTTAGTATGTCAGTTTGTTGTATAACATATCAGGTATCCTTAATGTTTAGATCTATTGTTTTATCATTACCGAAGAGTAGTTTTGCTCTCAAAATACACAACTGTCTTTCCATACACAAAGAGCTAAAGGGTGCACCTCTAACGTATCTGCTGGGGCTTTTTCCAATTATAGAGGCCTAGCGGGATTCATATATAGTCAAAGAAGTAAGGTAATGCCTTCGTTATCCACATTGACAGATTAAACTATATTACATGATTATGTATTCTTTAAAGAACAGTTGCTGTAAAATGGAGGAATACCGTTTACAAGATACTATTGTTACTATAAGTGAGAAAAAAACACTGTAGCTAATTGATAGCTGAATAATGGATCTAAAGCCATGCATTCTATTCCTTCAGCGGTATTATACGAAAAGACAGTGTTTGGGACAAAATGGTGTTCAAGAAGATCCAGGATGGACTTGGAGGGAGAGTAAAATTGATCACAACAGGGTCTGCTCCACTGTCGGCTAAAGTGTTACAGTTCCTTCGGTGCTGTGTTGGCTGTCCGGTATGTTACATCTTAAAAAAAAATATCATTAAATATGGCTTATCTATGGCTGATCTTCTGTTTTAATGTACTCATCTGAAAAAGAAACATCTCCATAATGTTTGGAGGATCTATATTTATTATAAGGGATACTATGTTTGATATATGAAACATCAGAGGTTATACATGTGTGCAATTTATTAAAGAGAAAGCAATTTCATGCTTCAGTGATTTTATGGGTCCATAATAACTTACTTTGATGTCTGCATTCAATGCACTTGGCTGGAACCTTTTGTCAGTGTTACAGCAGCTTGATGCCATTTATAAGCCCTCACAATCTCTACAGTCAGTATAAGGGTATACTATCATCTTGGAGGGCAGTGCTGTTCATGGTTTTATCGAGTCTAGGTCTTAATACTAGGTTTGTTTCTCCTGACAGATCTTGGAGGGCTATGGACAAACTGAGTCTCATGCCATCTGTTCACTGACAGTGGTGGGAGATGCGGATGTTGGTGAGTATTTGGTAAACTAAAGTATGACTTTGTATTTCAGGAACTGTTGTTTCTTATACATGCTCCTATATAACTAGTACATGCATGGTTGTCCCTGCAGGTAGGGCGTAAGAATTGTACCTGCTGACCCCATTGCATGATCGTAAGAGGCGACTAAATTTTGGATCTTATCTTTTCTCTTCTTTCTAAACAACTTTCTTCTTCCTAATGTCTGTCTTGACAATGCCTCACCTTTGGCCTTTAGTTGAGCGTTCGCCCCTGTGAGTAAGGCTTTAGATTCTGTCCCCTGGCCGAGACATACCAGAGTCTGTAAAAATGGTAGTTTCTATTCCTGCTTAACGCTCAGCAATTTAGGAGTGGGACGACTGGTTCGCCCGTTGTCAGTACAATGTGACCGGGTGAGGCGTCCTGCTGGGTGTCTTCGGCAGTATGTTTCAGTGAGGTAGCACTATAAAGTCGGCATCAGTTCCGCGCTATCACAAGAAGACAAACACGAACATATCACAGCCTCCCAAAATACACACACATACACTTCACACATGCATCCTGCACACAGGGGAGGCCGTCCTTGAATGACCATAGCTGGTAATAGGACGTTAAACAATACTAAACCAAACCAAACCAAACATGCATGGTGATAACATTTTCATACGCCCATCTTTGACAGGACATATTACGGTATAGCATTGTCTAGCTCAGTATCAACAATATGTTGACCATAGCTTTCTTCTTATTTCACTTACCTACAGGTACATTCACATAAATTATTACAGAGTTATAGCCCTTGTTCCCCTTTATTCATATTTGATACAAAAGTTTGTCTGAATTATAAAGGACTTTTGTGTCTATTTAATCTTTATTCACAAAGCTTGCTTTGCTTATACATGTATATCCAAGGGCTAATCATGAGTTTCAATCATTGAAATAGAGTCTTGTGTTCCACTATATATATATATAAGAAGAGATCTTGGCCTTTGTTCCTTTTTGACGCTATTAATATTCCTTTCTTTTACACTTCAATTCACAAAACTTACACCCCTTTGTATACAGAGTTGTAACTGTTGATTCTGGAATTGAAACAAATTTTTCTTCATGAAAATGTTGCATAAGGACAAAAGGAGGCAATCATCACACATTTCTTTTTACATACATTTGATACATTTTGTTTCAAGAAAGCATAGGAAGGTTTCACACTTTGTTACACAATGAGTGAATGAATGATGTGTGATAGGCATGTATTGTTCCGCCCCCTGCAGCCCTGTGTATAGAACTATATACTAAGACAGTGTATATTTAACAATATAATTCAATTCTTGTGTCAAAATTTAGTTTTTAAAGGGTAAAAACTACTGTGGTACTTTATCGTTAAGAGTGATTAACTCCAATACTAGTACCATAGATACCTCAGGTATTGTAGGTACAGATCAACACAATAATACAGAATTACAGCTTCAGCATGTTCCTGTTTTGATATTGTCAAGTAATGCAACTTGGTTTTTAATGATAACTTTGGGGTGATCAGGTGGCACAGTGGATAGCGCACTCGACTTTCACAAAGAATGCTGAGGTTTGACTTCCTGATCAGAATTGTAAAGGTATTGAGTTACCTTCTTAACCACATGGATATACTGTAGGTACTCTGGTTTCCTCCCACACGAACACTTCCTGCATGCTTCCATCCGAGCCAACAAGATTCATAACTGTAAAATAAATAAAGTTCATGTAATGATAACTGTTTCCTATAATGAGTGATGACTTTAATTGCAGGCCATGTGGGCATACCGCTTGCGTGTAACTATCTCAAGGTAGCAGATGTCCCTGACATGAATTACTTTGCCAAGGATGATAAAGGCGAGGTAAGTTTGCTTACTTATCTATTGTAAGTGTAATTGCAAAATAAAATATTTTTGACAATTAAACTGCTTCCAATAACAGGAGTTTTTTAAGAGGAACCTTTCTATTTTGTAGGTGTGTGTAAAAGGAGCAAACGTATTTGTTGGGTACTACAAGGATCCGGAGAAGACCAAAGAAGCCCTGGACGATGAAGGATGGCTACACACGGGTGATATAGGGGAATGGTTACCAGTAAGTTATACAGCATGCAGGGGACATAGGGGAATGGTTACCAGTAAGTTATACAGCACGCAGGGGACATAGGGGAATGGTTACCTGTAAGTTATACAGCACGCAGGGGACATAGGGGAATGGTTACCAGTAAGTTATACAGCACGCAGGGGACATAGGGGAATGGTTACCAGTAAGTTATACAGCACGCAGGGGACATAGGGGAATGGTTACCTGTAAGTTATACAGCACGCAGGGGACATAGGGGAATGGTTACCAGTAAGTTATACAGCACGCAGGGGACATAGGGGAATGGTTACCAGTAAGTTATACAGCACGCAGGGGACATAGGGGAATGGTTACCTGTAAGTTATACAGCACGCAGGGGACATAGGGGAATGGTTACCTGTAAGTTACACTGCACGCAGGGGACATAGGGGAATGGTTACCAGTAAGTTATACAGCACGCAGGGGACATAGGGGAATGGTTACCTGTAAGTTATACAGCACGCAGGGGACATAGGGGAATGGTTACCAGTAAGTTATACAGCACACAGGGGACATAGGGGAATGGTTACCAGTAAGTTATACAGCACACAGGGGACATAGGGGAATGGGTACCAGTAAGTTATACAGCACACAGGGGACATAGGGGAATGGGTACCAGTAAGTTATACAGCACACAGGGGACGTAGAGGAATGGTTACCTGTAAGTTACACTGCACGCAGGGGACGTAGGGGAATGGTTACCTGTAAGTTATACGGCACGCAGGGGACATAGGGGAATGGTTACCAGTAAGTTATACAGCACACAGGGGATATAGGGGAATGGGTACCAGTAAGTTATACAGCACACAGGGGACATAGGGGAATGGGTACCAGTAAGTTATACAGCACACAGGGGACGTAGAGGAATGGTTACCTGTAAGTTACACTGCACGCAGGGGACGTAGGGGAATGGTTACCTGTAAGTTATACGGCACGCAGGGGACATAGGGGAATGGTTACCAGTAAGTTACACTGCACGCAGGGGACGTAGGGGAATGGTTACCTGTAAGTTATATAGTACATCATCAGATGGTGGGCTATTTAAATCACCCTTGGTCTGTGGTCTGTTATTCCGTCCATCTGACCTTCAGCAATTCTTGTTAGCACTCTCAGGAGGTACTAGAGGGATCTTTCTTAAATTTCTTATGAAGGTTCCCGGTGGTCCTTTATTATGCATATCAAGTTTTCGGACAGATGGGAAAACCAAGACGGCTGATAGACAGCCAAATTGACTTTTGAGAGTTAAAGTGTGTTAGTGCAATTTCTCAGAAAGTACTGAAGGGATCTTTCTCCGAGTTCACATGAAGGCTGCCATGGTTCTTAGTTATACATATGAAGTTTTCCAGCAAATTGACAGCACTTGAATTTTGAGAATTACACATTTTGAGCATTTTGCATTTAGTTATTCAATTACTGTACAATAAAATTGTCATAGTGGCAAATAACATGACATTACCAGGCTTTAGTTACATGGGACTTAGTAATAGTACCTGTAAGGCAAATAAAGTGCAAAGAAGGTAGATCCTTGGATGGTGGGCACCAAGATCCTTCTTGTTGTTGTTATGGTTTAAAATATTAGCAAAGGAAATTAATTCTGATACAAATACGTTTTTTAGGGGATAGGCAGATTTATGAAAGCAGACTGCATCAAAATAATTATAAGCATGTCAGTTTTGCGTAGAAGGCTCCACACATTGTTACTCTGCTGCGGCAGACTGCATCAAAATGATTATAAGCATGTCAGTTTTGTCTAGAAAGCTCCACACATTGTTACTCTGCTGCGGCAGACTGTATCAAAATGATTATAAGCATGTCAGTTTTGTCTAGAAGGCTCCACACATTGTTACTCTACTGCAATACTCTTGTACTGTTTAAGTATGATGGGAGTGTTGATGAGACCAAGATTTTACCATGGATATATGATGTTGATTCATGTTCTTGTCTTTGTTGCTTTCAGAATGGTACCCTAAAAATCATAGACAGAAAGAAGCATATCTTCAAACTGGCACAAGGGGAATACATAGCCCCAGAGAAGATAGAGAATGTGTATGTACGGAGTACTTTGGTGGCTCAAATGTTTGTCCATGGGGACAGTCTAAAGGTAATCTTTCATAAAACAGTACTTGTTTTTGACCTCTGACTTGACACTTGTTGTATTTGACCTCTGATTTGACACTTGTTGTTTCTGACCTCTGATTTGACACTTGTTGTATCTGACCTCTGATTTGATACTTGTTGTATTTAACCTCTGATTTGACACTTGTTGTATCTGACCTCTGATTTGACACTTGTTGTATCTGTTGTATCTTGTTGTATCTGACCTCTGATTTGACACTTGTTGTATCTGACCTCTGATTTGACGCTTGTTGTATCTGACCTCTGATTTGACACTTGTTGTATTTAACCTCTGACTTGACAATTGCTGTATCTGACCTCTGATTTGACATGTGTTGTATATGACCTCTTATTTGACACGTGTTGTATCTGACAGTCGTCCCTTGTGGGTGTGGTGGTGCCTGACCCAGAAACATTCCCACAGTTTGCCAAGACCAAGCTAGGAGTGACAGGTACCCTTGAAGAGTTAGCAAAGAACCCGGTAAGTGCAACCAGTCATCATATTATTTATAGATGAGACTTTTTTCTAAATATTATAAAATGTTTTGATTTTAATTATCATTAACCTGGGATTCTATGATATTTTATTTTTTCTGAACCATTTAAATCAGTACTCTTCTTTTTTTCTTGTGAATCTGAAAATGTCTCCTTCTGCAGGAATATTGACAGGACCATTTGTTTACTTTAATCAAAGATGGCCACTCTAGCCTATGATTGGCTGAGACATTTACAGATTTGTCTCTAGAATCACTCCCACCATTGACACCAAACTTTGTATATATGTTTCCTAAGAAGTCCTCACAAAGTGCTGTGAATTTTCATGTCTGCATGAAAATCCAAGATGGCCAGACTGGCCTCTGATTGGCTCACACTTTTTCAGCTTTGGCTCTAGAACTGCATCAAGGATTCATTCCAAACTTGGTACAAATGTTCCGTATGAGGTTACAACCAACTTTTGTTACTTTAAGTGCCAATCCATAATTTAAGATTGCCTGCCTGACGTCTAATTGGCTTAGATATTTTCCACTTCTTCTCCAAGAATAACTGAAGCAATTAACTCCAAAATTGGTCACAGGTAACTTGTGCTGTCCTGAACTTTCTTGCTTTTTATTGGTCAATGCGATTTCAACTTCTGTAGAACAGCTACAATGCATTTGATCTTGGTACAAATGTTCCTTTAATGTTAGGGCATATATCACTCCTTTAGTTTGCTGTTATTTTAAGGTTCTTAACAGTTTCATTTAATGCATATTAACATTTCGTTGCAGAAAATCAAAAAAGCAATTCTAGATGATATGACAGATCTTGGTAAAAAATCTGGTCTCCATTCTTTTGAACAGGTGAGTAACATAATTCTGGTAACCATTTATCCAGATTTCTATATTTACTATATAAACTAATTTAATAATTTCATATGTAAACTAATTATCAGATGTCAAGTGAAGATAGAACAGTTGACATTTGGAAAAATAAAATCTGCTGTCTTATCTGTATTCGTGTGTACTTCGTGATTATTTATTACCTGCATAATAATGTAAATATATGACATATGTGAATGTCTTGTCTATAAACAATGGTATGTATAGGTGTTAAGTTCTTACCTGTATGTTAATGTGTGTACCGGTAATAGTTCTTACCTGTATGTAAATGTGTGTACCGGAAATATTTCTTACTGTATGTAAATGTGTGTACCGTTAATAGTTCTTACTGTATGTAAATCTGTGTATCGTTAATAGTTGGTTCTTACTGTATGTAAAAGTGTGTTAGTGTTAGTTCTTACCTGTATGTAAATGTGTGTACCGGTAATACTTCTTCCTGTATGTAAAAGTGTGTAAGTGTTAGTTGTTACCTGTATGTAAATGTGTGTACCGTTAATAGTTGGTTCTTCCTGTATGTAAAAGTGTGTTAGTTCTTACCTGCATGTAGTTGTATATCTACATTTGTTATATTTTTACCTGTATGTAATGGTGTATGTGCAATAAAAATGTCTTACTGATGTTGCTTGACCTCATTTTCTGTTTGCAGGTTAAAGATATATTTGTGTTCCCAGAGTTATTCTCAGTGGAAAATGGACTCTTAACACCAACATTTAAAGCAAAACGAAATGAACTGAAAGTGTTTTTCAAAAGTGAGATAGAGGAGATGTACAGCAAGCTGACATGAGTGGATTTCTCTGTGTAACACACAATGGTTGTGTAAGGCTTAGCCAGCATGATGCGACCGCTAACCAATTGGTGAACCAGTGAATGTGATAACTCTGGGGTCTTCAGTGGTAGAAACATTTCAAGGATGTTTTACCTTGGGAGTCTGTACATGGTTTACCTTGGGAGTCTGTACATGTTTTACCTTGGGTGTCCGTACATGTTTTACCTTTGGAGTCTGTACATGTTCTAAGAGTATCATCTCATTGAGCATTTTGTCATGATCAACAGCATATAGTGAAACCCTTCTAAACTGACCTTGTTAATTCTGCTTAGATTCTGATTTAGCAAAATGTTTTTCTGGTTAATAATCCACAAAACAAGGCTGAAGTTATTAGACTTAGAAAAGTCTCGTGACTTGGTCTGCTGTTTTAAAGATTTGGTGCTGGGATAATGTCTTTAGTCGGTTTAGAAGTGTTTCACTGATTACTTAGGGGGAATGAGCTATCTTTGTGTTTCCTTTGTAAAAAGGTTTATTTTAACTGAGAATGCACATGGTAGGAAAGGTCAATGTATAGCTTAGTCCTACAAGATGTATAGCTTAGTCCTACAAAATGTCTACATATTTTTAAACATGCCACACAAATTAAACTTTTGATGAACTCATATGATACCTCATTGCATGGAAAACAAATCAAAATTTCATATCAGATCTACTTTCTTGCAAAACCATCATCAATTTTATTCAGGACCAGTCCGTCTCCACAGACTAAGCACTAAACAGCTGGAGATGGTAGAGGTTGTTTTGTTCAGTGATTCGCACAGGGATTTATAGTGTAATAGTACCAGCTGTAGGAGATACGATACTTGATCTGTATCTAGAGCAGACCAGGTGCCATATGATCTATAGGTGACAATGAATTGAAGGAGGAGTAGAGTCATTTAACAAAATTTGACTGGCTTGATTTCATTATATTTAACTAGCTAGTACCAGGAGAAAACTTCTGTTGGTCCGTAGATATGCTTATTGGGACCTAGGAATTCCATTTATCACTACAAACTCAAGTGTGATTGAAGTTTTTGAGAGGTCTTAGAAACAGAAATATGAAGTACAAGTAATGTGTCAAATAAGGTATGCTAAATACCCCAATAATTACTTATAAATTAGGTGTATCTCTCTAGTTGAGCCATGACGATGGTGACATTAGTATATGCTGGGCTGTTAGTCGAGTGTAGATGTGACAGGCCGATAATCCTGCAAGTATGTGATGGACTATTGGTCATGTGAGTATATGATGGGCTGATTGTCATGCGAGTGTGCATTGTAATAGAATACACATATCTGCGAGTAAAATATGTATACATGTACATGATAGTGTGGCTGTATTTCATATTGGAAAAGAAAAATATTATGCTTGACAGAAAACATAATGATTGTATTAACTGAAAGTGGACATAACAGACACATGGTACCTGTGCATTGTCTACGAAAGGGCCTTCAACAACATCACATTTAAAAGTAATTTTCAAAAATTGTAGTAAGCTAAAAACAACTGTCAATATTACATTACTTTACCAAGTATGTGGTCAATGTATTACATTACTGAGTATGTTGACAATGTATTACATTACCGGGTATGTCGACAATATATTACATTACCGACTATGTCGACAATGTATTACATTACTGACTATGTCGACAATGTATTACATTACCGAGTATGTCGACAATGTATTACATTACCGACTGTGTCGACAATGTATTACATTACTGACTGTGTCGACAATGTATTACATTACTGACTATGTCGACATTGTATTACATTACCGAGTATGTTGACAATGTATTACATTACCGGGTATGTCGACAATATATTGCATTACCGACTATGTCGACAATGTATTACATTACCGACTATGTCGACCATGTATTACATTACCGACTATGTCGACAATGTATTACATTACCGACTATGTCGACAATGTATTACATTACCGACTATGTCGACAATGTATTACATTACCGACTATGTCGACAATGTATTACATTACTGACTATGTCGACAATGTATTACATTACTGACTATGTCAACAATGTATTACATTACCGACTATGTCGACAATGTATTACATTACCGGGTATGTCGACAATGTATTACATTACCGGGTATGTCGACAATGTATTACATTACCGACTATGTCGACAATGTATTACATTACTGACTATGTCGACAATGTATTACATTACTTACTATGTCAACAATGTATTACATTACCGACAATGTATTACATTACCGACTATGTCGACAATGTATTACATTACTGACTATGTCAACAATGTATTACATTACCGACTATGTCGACAATGTATTACATTACCGACTATGTCGACAATGTATTACATTACCGACTATGTCGACAATGTATTACATTACTGACTATGTCGACAATGTATTACATTACCTACTATGTCGACAATGTATTACATTACCGACTATGTGGACAATGTATTACATTACCGACTATGTCGACAATGTATTACATTAC